GGTCTAATCTGTGAGCATTGTGTGCTGAATTTGCTAAAAAAATCTAACCTATGCCACCTAATTCTTCACAATTTTTTATTGTTTGCAATGCTGTTTTTATACCTAGAGTGTATATGCTTGAAACATGAATCAACATTGGTATATTTGCTTAGGAACAACAGTTAGGGTTTGATTTTTGAATTTTAGATGCTGAATTGTTAGAAAATTTGATATGAAATAGTTTTTATTTTAAAAAATCTGCGACATATTTACTTGAATTCCATGATTATCTACTTTATTTTTTTAAATTTCTGTTTACTTGCAGCAAATACAGCAACTTTTTTTATGACAAGCTCTTGGACTTCACGAAACTTATAAACAGCACAACTATGTCAACTCTCTTCCTACATAAAAGTATCATCGAAAATGGCTTGTAAGTACCTATTTTTTTCTTTCTATTGTATCGAATGTTCAAACAATAGTTTTACAATATATCATTAGCAAAGTTGATTAAATGCTTCTAGGAAATGAATTTTTATGAGGTCAGTATTTATGTGTTTGTTGTGTGATTGGCCTTTGATTCTTTAATACTTGCAATTTTATCAATTTTTAAAAAAGAAAAAACATCTCCAAATTCCAAATATCAACTTAAGAAAAACCCCTCGTGTTGTGCGATGAGAAGGTTGAAGAGAAAGTAAAGTTGTTTCTCTGAATTTTAGCAAAATGTTATCCTTCAGGAGTGTTTATGCATCTTCATATTCTGAGATACGAGTAATGTTGTTTGCACCGTCTTAAATTTGTTCACTTTTTTAGTTTGAACGTGTAGAGATTTTTGGCAAAATATGATTTGTTACTTCTGTGGTCTCCATGGTGGCTGTTTTTGCGTTCAACTAGAGACAAATCAAAAACACCTTTCGTAGGTGGGATGTTGCTGCTCATGGTAGCAATACAGTAAGGACAATTGGACTTGCGAGAAAAAAAAGGTACTTTTTCCCTTCACCTCTTCATCTCCTCAACATGTGAGGTCCAAAATTATTTATATTTTCTGATTTGGAGCAAAAACATCTTCAAAATTATTTATATTTTCTGATTTGAATCTAACCGGTTGACCACTTTAAAGATGCTGTGAAATAGCACTGTGCAGTTTGTAACACACTCCATTTTTTTAAATCTAATTTTTAATTTGGGTTTACTTTAGCCAATTTAGCACCTTTTTTTATACATTTTTTTAAAAAAGTATAAGCAAAGATGCTAAAAAAAGTTATAAGCAATGAAAAGTTATTCACCAAGGTGTGGGGTAAGGTATTCCTTAACCTGTCAAGCAGCATTTTTTTCTTTCCTGAAGGACAGTTTTCTGTTTTGTATTAAACATAATTTATGCTCTGTTAATTAACAAGATATTGAATAAAATCTACTTTGTATCAATTAGTTCATAACTTTATAGTGCAAAAGTTAAATTTGTATACAACTCCAATTTCAAGAGTTTAACATTTTGTTGGATCTGTTATTCATGCTTTAGAATTGATGCAATTTTCAACGCGATTATAATATACTAAGTGATTTTCAATGCTTATCATCGGTCATTTGGAAATTGTAGTTTTATCTTTTAAACATATTACATCCGGCCCCCTTTACTCTGCGGTAGGTGGGAGTCTTTGAGGCATTGGCATAATGTTATGTTTTATTATGAGATATTATTGATGTTGAATCACTTTTTGCCAGTCATGATAGATTCAATTAATATCATAATTTTATAGTAGAAATGTCAATGACATATTGTCTATCTTATATTGGCTATTCATGTTACTGAGGTGCCAAAAGTGACTTGAGGAGAAGTAGGAATACACCCTTTGTCCTTTGTTTCTTCCTCCAATG